ACTCTTGCACGTTGCAGGGACGAATGGAGACGTTACTGGCGCCCGCTCGAGGAAACTCGATGATCAACGGGAGCAAAGGTGAGACAGGTGATTTTTGCACGAACAGGGGACATGCATAAATTGGTAGGTATCCAACTAACACACAAGTAGTAAGCAAGTGCTAAAGCAAAGGATAAAGCTTGCGAGGTTTATTGGTTCCTCTCTGGATGCGCCACGCATGTTGCTTCTCGGTATCGTAGCTGCATTCGAATATCACTACAATGATTTGAGGGTCCAGCCGATATTGGATCCATTGCGTTTATGGAAGGCGTGGTTGAGCCGAAGTCTTTCCAAGAGTTGAGGTGGGGTCGGGCGCGTGTTAGGCGGTACCGTCCCTCCGAAACTTATTTGTATCTGCTTGAGTAAATGTATACTAGCATAAGTAGACTCTTGGATAGATGGACTGCTCAACGAACAAGATTTTTTTTGGACTCTGACCTTCGAATGTTACTTGTACATAGAAAGACAATGTAGTCGACGATTCACGTTAACTCACTGGACCATGTCTTTCGAAGATGCAAGAATTAGGGTCTGGTCTTTCCTAAAACGGGAAAGAGGCTAGATAGTAGTAATAGAGTGTCCTATTGGAAGATGGGCGGTCAAACTCTTCGGTTTCAACATCCAAGGGCTTGGGGAAAACAACCAAGACATATGTTACTTATTTCAGCACTACTATGATTGTGGTCTTTCTACTGCTGATCGTATGGATCGCGGATATAGCAGCGCTAGAAGTGGCCTGCTACCATTGTTACGGCAACTCAACCACCGAAGGAAAATTCTGTTCAATCGATAGTCTGTGTTTAGGACAATCATGCTATTTCAGTGAGTTTGTCATTATACAAAATCTGTGCTCCTTCGTTCATATGTTCAGCCCCCTCCGAATGTTGTGCGTACGTAAGAAAATAAGTAATGGATTATTCCTCCTGCGCCACATCCACAACATCCATCATGTGGAATCACAATGGAGGGCTTCCCACTTCAGCTTCACGTCACAATTTTGGTATAGATTATTGGGACGGGGTTATGACAGGGAATCGTATAACAAGAAAAAATATTGGGTGGGTCCGTGGGATGACGACGAAGTTCACCGCGGCGACTCTTGGCGGTGGATTAAGTTGTTTCGAAACAAGCTGGAGGTATTATTTGGCTGGGACAAAGGAAACTTCCCTCACTAACTTTGTCAAAATAATCGATAAGGGAACAGAGTATCGCAGCAGGTGAGTAGTGTGACCGAGGTAGGCAGCCGCCATCAGAATGACGTCGGCTACACGACGCGAGGATCGTTCAAGAAGACAGACGGGCTGGGAGGGGAGGTTTGCTCTCACATTTATTTACTTAATTTATTTTACTTATTTATTTATTCTATATTGTTATAGTGAAAACACACATACACACTCATATACAGTCCTCATCATTGCGGACCGGTGGGGCGTGTCAGCCAGTATGAGTGTGCACACTGTTGAAGCCGTTTTTTTGTTGAAACGCGTATGCGACAAAAAGTGGTAGAAAACGAGTAATACGAAGGATATAATACAGTAATGTCACTTGCCCGCTTCAACAACTGGTGCAGAACGACTTCGGCCCCGACCGTACGTAATGATGAGGACTGTATGTAGCTCTGATACTGCCCCATCTGAAATCATTCGTTCCAGTCTATGCGGCATTACCTGGCGAGAAAAATGACGAATTGTCAAAAATTAGGTGTTCATTTTCTTCAGCCTACAACCAGGCGAGTTTTTTGAGAGAGACATTCATCACCTGGGGGGTCATGGTGAACAGGCTATGGTCATAACAAAGAATTTGACTGGATTGAATTGGATGATTATTTTCATGATAAATTTCGATTCGTGATCAAACGACTTTCGACGCAGCAGCGAAAGAAAAAACTTGAAACAAACTTCAAGATGGCAGTGTTCGCCCATCGGATGAGTGATCAAACCTGTCTGGGTAGTCCTTTCCCTTATCGTCTACTTTTTTATGATGCTACATAGTTTTTTTTCTTCCCGCAGCCTTACAAAGATTCCAGGACAGCTCAAAAAGAAAACTGACAAAGCTATCAAGAAGCGCGTGACTTGATCTTGTTCCAATTTTTTTCTGTGTTTCATTTCCTCGATCCCGCCCATAAGACGAACGTGGAATGCACCTTCTGGTTTTTCTGTAAATCAAGGAAACCGGAATAATCGGATTGTACGGTATGGTGTACATCAATATGAGTTTCAGCCGTTCAATCAAGTGGGGAATGGTCGGCGGGCTGCGCGAATGGAACGGCGCCTCCAGTTCTCGTCTGCTCCAACAAAAAGAACAGCTCCTCATCAACATGCAGCTGCACGGCGGATCTATGCAACCAGTTCAACAAGGTCAATGAGACTCTGCAACGCAATAGCTCGACTTTGTAAGTTTCATTGGTACTGCTAGGATGTACAGAAGTGCAATGATTTCATCACAGCAGCAACATTTCATTGCATCTCCCGGACCTTCCAATCATCTGTCTCGAATGTGGAAATGTGAGTATCGGGGGACGGCACCTTGACGTGCCATGCGCGGAGGCATACGTTTGCCAAGGAAGTTATTGCATAACCAGTAAGTTTTACCTTGATAGCTTCTTCAAACAAAGGTCTGGACTTGGGTGCAAAATTTGTTTTTTTTTCATAGCTCCACCTATATGATTATGGTGGAATGTGATAGGAGACAGTACATAGACATCTGACCAGGTTAGGAACGGGTTTGATATTATTTTTTAAGAGAGAGGAAGAAATCCGCACTCGTATTGTGGCACCGACTGGGAAGGCTTCAACGAGGTTCGTGCGATTTCTTTTCACTGGGTTTGCTATGCTGATGCAAAAGCTTTAGATAAAGTTAGAGATTCCCACGATCA